AATGGGCATTTATTTAATTGTCATTTTCGAGAAACTGCCAATAACTTGTCAGTTGCAGTAATTTCACAAGTACATTTAACCAAAACAAACGCTAAATAATGACAAAAAAATTGTAATTAAAATGTTTCATAAACAGTCCCACATTATATGTATATATTTAACTTTATATTATTGTAGTGTATGTATACAACACCAGGTTTACTAACATTTAAAACCCATATATAACTATGAATGCTGTACAGACTGAACAGGTTCAAACCGCTTATGCGGAGCCATCTTTGAATACCGCTTCCGCATAAACAATAACATGTCACATCACCGAGCCTGACTTGACCCGGTTAACACACGGTTAAACGGGGCTGTTATGAGGTTTCGTTTTGCCTCCGGTGACAGAAAACGACTCGTTAGTAATAAATTGGGCCTCAGCGACATAAATCTTGCACTCTCAAAAGAAGACACTTCTGCGTCACATGCTCCGGTAACGGGAAGGCTGACGTGCAAACGCCGACACGGAGCCGCCGTTCGCTGCCATTTTATCTCCAAACGGCAAGGAAATGGATTGCATTACACTGACAGGGCGCCGCCCGCATAGAAACAAGCGTACATTCTAATACACGCCTTTACTTACTAACAGAAAGGCGACAATAAACCACGAAACCCTCGCAGTGACATTTGTTTTGACACGTAAGACAGCGTTGCAGCCAACGGCCGAATGCTACACTTGGCATTTTTTGCTAATATTAAGGAAACCCACACTTACCCTCGGTCTCTGCCACGATCTCTGTCTGAAAAACCTGGCATTGTGTTGTAGACTGCAGTGAAAAAATGGGATAAGAAGAAATATCAGCTGCCGGCCTATAAAACAGGCGAAAAAAATCTACGAGCTGAGAGCGCACCGGCGAAATAAAAAGAAAATGCCGGCAGACAAAAGTCTGTCTACCGAGACGGAAACGAGGTCAGACGGGACGGATAACATTTGTATCAATGCGCGTTTTTCATTCGTATTAGCTGTGGTACTATTTTATGTTCGCGTTCGGGGCTGTGGCGTTTATTTCTACAGTTGATACAACTTTCTTTGCTTTCTTTCTATCTTTCCTTTATCCGCCCCGTTGACATCAGTAAAAGCATTTTTCAAAAGCATTTTTCTGAGAAGTGTACGACAATTGAACAGTAGTGCAACTACCTCCTCCAAAGTGAATAAAGTAAAAAAAAAA